CCCGCCTGCCCTCAGGGGCCGCTCCCGGCTTTCCTCTTTTCTCCCCAGGGGTCGGTTTCTTCAGCGTCGCCCTGCATTTGGAAGCTCCTCGCGGGCAGAGACCCTTCGGGGTGTGTGTGTTGGGGATGGGTTTTTTCCCCCCCCGGACTAGCGTCCACTTCATCCCTTGCACGACGTGGGGTTTTAAAACCAGCAGAAGTGAATCCTCGTCCTGGGAAGCCTTAATGCAGGGGGTCAGGGAACTTTTTTTTCCCCCCGAAAATACACACACACACACACACACACACACGACATTACCCCCTTGACAGGACATGGATCTAGCGTGTGAATGCAGATATCTATATCGGTCCCCCTGCAAATTTTAAGGATGCCAGAGCTGTCCCAAGCTCCACTTTTAACAGCATCCACACGAGGCAAAAAGAACCAGAGCCAGCTTTTGGCCACTAATACAATAGTTTCAAGGGATCCCAGTTATTTCAAACTGACTGCACAGGATGAAACACCTGCTCTGCCCTTACCACCGTTTAGCCTGGCCATATTACGGGTTTGAAGCCACTTCTTTTCCTATTCTGCATGAACAACGCTGACACAAAGAAGAAGCGCTGCCGTGACCGTCCGCATTACCCCCAGGATTTTCATTTTTACCCTATTTGGGGTCATTTCCCCCTGTTCCCTGACCCCACTGCCTTAATGCCATAAGAAACGTGTTAGCCCTTCGGGGCACGCTGAATGTTCCTTTAGCTGCCTTTCTGGAAATAAAAAAAGTTAGCCTTCGAGAATCCAAAAAAGTTAGTGTTTGTAATTAGTATTATTATTGTTCCTCCTGCTGCTCGCTATAGCCTTGTCTCTGTTGTTACTAACCCAGGAAACTTTAACACTGGGAGCCTTTTCTTCTGCTGCTGTTAGATGTGCAGAAGCAATGCTGTAATTTTTGAAACTTGTTGCTGGGAAATCTAGTAGGGCAGCAGGCTCGGATGTAATATTGTTATTGTTATAGTTGTCCGTTCATAGGCCACCTTTCAAGGGCAGGAGACCCTGAACGCAACAAGAGACATAATAAAAGTGTAGAATATAGCAAGAAATGTTCCAGTGCCCCTTAACAATATAAATGAGTAAGACAGCAACAAAGAGGGGCAAGAAAAGATGTTTTCCCAGGCTAAGGAAATAAAGGGTGATCTCACCTTCTGCATCCCATTAGGGACTAGAAACCTAAGGATACTGAAAGAAAGAATATGCTAACTCAGATATGGATAAATAATGTGAATTAATTTACAGAAGGTAAAGGCTGTAATCAGTGAGTCGTTGTGAATGGAACCTTCATTTTTGGAGCCAGTATATCACAACATTCCAGATCCTAAGGGGCACTGGTGAGGGAGGAGTACTCCCATCCTGTTCTGTTTGTGGACTTCTTTCTGATCTTAGGAAACCCACAAACAATCAACCAATTAAACCTGAACACTTCTTTGGGCCTAGAGGGGGTGCTCGGTTCATCTGAATCAGCACAGTTGGAAGGGAAATGTACTTTTAGTGAGATTCCCCCCCCTTTTTTTTAGAGTGCCTCCTATTTCCTGTAATTTCTTATATCAAGAAGTAAGGTCATGAACGCCAACATATAATGTCTTTGTTTTTGTTCGTGTGTTTGTTTTTAGGCAACCTTGGGCTTTAATCAAAGCCACTGTTATAATTTAACTGTTGTTATAATTTAAAATGTCCCCAGTTACCCCAAAAGAGGTCATTTGGGACTGGCCTGAATGTGATTGTTAGGACAGCAGTGCCACCTTAATAAAAATTAAAGTTGTTGTCAAAAGCTATGGGTTGGATCCAAGACTACAGTAGTCTTATTTAGAGTAGAGCTGTAGAAATCCGTGAGACAGATTTATTATGACCAATGTAAATCCTATTGGTTTCAGTGGATTTGTTCCTGATGGTTTGGATCCAACCAGTTAACTGTATAACCCTCCTGTAATTTGTTCCTGCCAACCTAGCAGTTTGAAAGCATGTAAATGCAAGTACGTAGATAAATAGGGACCACCACGGTGGGAAGGTAACGGTGTTCCATGTCTAGTTGCACTGGCTACATGACCACGGAAACTGTCTACGGACAAATGCTGGCCAATGTTTCTCCACTTGTACCAGGCTATGGGAGTGCCAGTTTCCCATGATTTTTGTAGCATCCCTGTTTCTCGGCTTGTACCAGGCTATGGGAGTGCCAAACCACCGTTGCTCCATGTTTGTGCCGCGCCAGTTTCCCATGATTTTTGTAGCATCCTTCAAAGAGTCAGTTGCTTCATTTCATCAAACACTCTTCTAATAACAGCTGTTCACATGCATAATTCTTTAAACTACCGCCTGCAGGGAATAAGCCTCTCCTAAATGCATTTTAATCATAGAAATCATATCTTGCTATGACCAACCTTCATCTCCCTTTTTTCCTCTCTCTAGCTGGAGCCATATATGGATGAGAACTTCATTTCAAGAGCATTTGCTACTATGGGAGAGTTGGTTCTGAGTGTTAAAATCATTCGGAACAGATTGACAGGGTATTTATATTTTATTTATCTGGTTTATATGTCAATATTAGTTTTCTAATACTGTTACTAGTTAAGAAACATATATAGACATATTGCGAGTCTTCAAATTTGGAACGAGTACTTGGATCATTTAAATCAGCCATTCTCAACCTTCTTTTAGTCTCTGTCAGAAACACAATATGAAAGAAATATAGGCCAAATCAGGATTGTATACGTTGCATAACAATCCTTATAAAGTGGTATGAGAAGAATAGTTTCTACTCTTTTCCTCTCTTCAAATGTGTCAGGGTCTCCAGGAGGCCACATGGAAAGATTGGCAGATTTAAATAATCCGGTATTTTCCGGACAACATTTGCAAGCCGGGTAGGTGGGGCTCATCAGCCATGGAAGGCAGCCCATCTAGGAGAAGGAAAACTCCGATTTCAAATCTCCACTGCCTTGTGGCTATATCCACTCATGGAAAAGGCTTCAGGAGTTAACCTCGAGGCAAAATCCGGAGCTGGAGTCCCGAAGGCAGCATGTGTTGTTCTGCCAACTCCTGCGACATTGCTGGAACCAGTTGTATTGGCTCTTGCCTTTCCATTGGACCATTTCAGCAATGTGGAGAGGGGGGATCTGCTGCTTGGGTAACAGCCTATCCTCCATATTACCTTACCCGGGCTTCATGCTCTGGAGAGGACACTCCTCGATTCAGAACATGTTACCATAGTCTCTCGAGACTGAAGGATGCCTATGGTATTTTCTGTCAACCACGGAAATAGGAAGTGCTTCACAAAGGGTCACAATGTGCTTTGTCATTCAGGTGCAATGTCAAAAAGAGCATGCAACCAGAATGGCTTGACTTAAGAATTTTCTTTTTTCTCATTTGCACATATATTATTAAAAATTCCAAAATAATTTAATTACAGATGACCATTACCATATATATGTTATAATAATAAATAATCAAGCAGTAAAGTATTGAGTGAAATATACATCTTAATTGAACAACTTAAACTAGGCAGGAAATAAAGTAAATCCTGATATTAGTGTAAGAGTCTAGTGGAGGAAAGATCAAACAGTTCCACATGAAGGTAATGTGGTTTTCCACCATTAGTCTGCAGACCTCTGGTATGTATGTATATGTATCTATGTATGTATGTGTGTGCATGTGTGTATTTATTTATTTATTTATTTATTTAGGCAGACCACAGCTGTCACCTGTAGCAGGATTTCTCACAGCTCTTTAGCTGAGCTTCCTTTCTCAGTCTTTTGCCCATCTCTCACTTGGGAAAGTGAAAGTTTCCGGTTGTCCTTTCACTCACACATCATATAATTTTGTCTCTCCCAAAGACAGGGAGGGATGAGGCAAGTCAAGCTAGAAAGGCTTTGCTGTTTGATGTGAAGTGGTGCCTCGCTAGACGATGATAATCCATTCCACTGAAATCGCTGTTTAGCGAAATCATTGTCTAGCGAGAAGCATTTCCCCATTGGAATGCATTGAAACCTGTTTCATGCGTTTCAATGGGGAAAAATCGTTGTTGTCTAGCGAAGATCGGCCATAGGAAAGCCGCTTTGTGAACCGCTAATCAGCTGCTGTCTTGTGAAGCTTAGGTCCCGAAAACACCTGTTTTGTGAGCGTGGAGGGAGCTGTCAGAATCGTCGTCTAGCGAAAATCGGTTTGTGAAGCAGGGACCAAACATTGTCCAGCGAAATTCCCCCATAGGACTCACTGTTTTGCAAATCGCTATAGTGACTGCAAAAAGTCAAATGTCTAGCAAAAAAACCCTGTCATGCAGGTAACTAGCGAGGCACCACTGTAAATCTTTCCACAAGCAACCTACTTAAAATATATCACCTTTGGTAGCAGATAGGATTGAGGATTCCTTGATCCTTACCTCTGGAGTATGCAGTTGTCACAGTAGATGCAAACATATCTTGGGTGGGATCCAGCACCATTCCTATTGTCTGAGTAGAGGTTTCACTTTGGAGAGCTGTAGCTCAGTGGCACAGCATAGGGCACGCACGTGGAAAGCCCTGCATTGAATTCTTCATGTCTTCTAAAGTAATCTTTATTAGCAGGGGTGGAAATATCTCCCTCTCAGTCTTTGTTCTAAATCAGCGATAAGAAAATGTGGTCCTTCTGACGTTGATGAACATCAGAAGGGCAGCGTGTCCTTTGCAATGGGCCATGTTGACTAGGCTGATGGGAATTGCAGTTGAATAACGGAAAGCATAGGCACCCACAGAAGAGTCTTTGTTGAAAATTGTTGACAGTGATCAAAGACTGTGATACAGCATCAAATCTTACTTTGCAGAAATGAACACATGCGAGTGGTCAGTTCAAAACATAAGGGTCTTGAAATGCTTTTGTTCTTTCAGGATTCCAGCAGGTTACTGCTTTGTTGAGTTTGCTGATCTGGCAACTGCAGAAAAATGTTTACACAAAATCAATGGGAAGCCTCTTCCTGGTGCCACACCTGTAAGTAAAATGCATTTGAGATTAGTGATGATGAATGTGGAGAAAAACAGTTAACTCCACACCTGTCAGTGTAATCCATGCCCCTTAGAAGATTTGGTGTTGGCCGCTTCAGTTGCTTTTGATGTTTACTGTTAAATGATTGCAGATTATCTTAATATATCTATTAGTTGTATTGTGATGCTTCTGACATGAACACAGAAAGTGATGAAGTCCAGAATACACTAAATTGAGAGTAATGTGCTAATCTCCGAGATCTTTTTGTAAGTAAATATGTGTAGGAGCTTGTTCTGCAGAAGCAGAGGGCCCTGACAAAGAATTTTTTGTGAAAACATCAAAAAGAACAAGAAAAAAGAAAACCCAGAATACTAAAGAAGTGTATTGTAGCCAAATAAAATGGAAAAGCATGGTATAAATGTGCGGACATGTCTGTACAGGCGTTGCAGCCATTGGTATACAGCTATTGATGCTTTTTGCCCACTCTGTTAGGCGAAACAAACCATCAGCCTTCCTTTCCAAGTCAGAATTAACTGTGATTGTCATTATGTGATTACAGTGGTGCCTCACATAGCGATGTTAATCCGTGCAGCAAAAATCGCTGCTAAGCGATTTCGTCGCTATGCGATTTTTTAAAGCCCATAGAAACGCATTAAAACCTGTTTAATGTGTTCCTATGGG